GGCAGGAGTCATGGAGGAGTTTTAGGAAATGTGCTTACTCTCCTGTCTGTCTATTAAATATACCATAAAGCCCAGTTCAGACCAAAGAAGACAAGTTGAAACAAGCAACTGCTTTCAACACCAGTTCGCACCAATGCAACTAAAGGAGAGGGTATCATCTCTGTAACACAGACTGTATACTTCATTCTAACTGGATATTTATGTAGCTGGATATCATTTGTAGCATCCTAAAATATAAAATGAGGATAGTGACATTGAGTTACTTGCTACAGTTGTACTTTATTTTTGAAAGACTGAAAAAATTAAATCAGAAGGTTGAGAATTTTTTTTGAGCGTGTCAAACAAATTGATGAGGTGATTCCCTCCAAAAAATCTACCATTTTGACCAGCGTAACTGATTTACCAAGCTGACTGGCAACAAGCCGAGGCTGTTGAAAAAAGTGCCTTACATTTTAAAACCAGTCACTAAAGATTTAACAAGCTAAGCTGCACACAGTGCCATCAGCTGGCTTGAGTTGAGTTGAGACAACCAGTTTGTCCCTGTAATGTTCTTAAACGGTTTTGTCTTGTCTTGAATCTTTGGTCTGAACTGGGCTCAAGGTTACAGCTTGTTAGCTTAGTTTAGCACAAAGACAAAGACCAAGAATGAAACCGCTATCCTGAATCTGTGGTAATCTATCTAAGGTGACTAAATCCACCTTCCAGCTCCTTTAAAGCTCACTAATGAACATATTATTAGTAATTTGTACAAAAACCGAAGTGTAGGGGTGGGAGTGGGTCTATTATTTCTTGGCTTTGACTAGACACTTCTTGCTCAGAGCCAAGCAAAAGTCCACATAACCCCAAAATGGCAAATTCACTTTATTCTTCAGGATTAAACAAGCAAGATATAACATGTTAATCCGAGAGTTTTAGAGGTGAGACTAGGTGTAATTTGTTACTTTCTGACAACCCAGTTGTTTCTAGATATTTCCAGTCTTTATGTTGAGCTAAGCGAAGCAGCTTCTGACTGTAGCCATTTAGTTACCATATAAACATGACAGTGGTATTGATTTTCTCATCTATCTTTGGAGACTTTGAGATCATCTCTAGATTCTAAAATAAAGTTCTGAGAGTTTGAACGAGGTTTGGACAAACCAGAAGATAACAGAGTTTAAGAATGCTGAAGATTCTTTATATTAGTCTTATTTTCAACATTAGTCTCATTTTCCTGATTTATTACAGGAGCAGTAAAAGCAATTACATCCTGTTCAGCTCTCAGTGTGCAAACAGTCACATCTGGGAGGAGGAAACCATTCCAGTTGTTTAATGGTGTAGTGTGGAATTAAATGTATGTATTTGAGCGGTGTTTATCACCACAGGGCACCACACTCGTCCTGAAACTGGCCGCAGAAATAGCTTTTTAAAAATCCAGTGATGTCAAAGAGAGTTTAATTAAGAACGCGAGACATTTTTAATTTCACTGCTGACTTCTGCAGATGATAAATGTCTCTGGGATTTAATTTAGCGTGTGGAGGAAAAACTGAGGTTGGGGGAGCTCAGGGGAGACGACTGAAGCTTCATCTGCGGCCTGCTGGGAGTCCTTCGAACCTATCCCCACTCTGTCCACAGGTGTCATGGTGGAGATCCGGGACCACCGCCATAGTCCTCACCTGCCTCAGTCCTCATCTAACCTTCAACAAACCGCTCTGACCCCGACATTAATCATCTGCAGGCAGCGTTCCCCCGACATGTCTCAGAGGGACCGACCTGTCGTACCTGTCTTACCGCTCTTACCTGTCGTACCTGTCCTCCCTCCTGTCCTCCTCCCGGGATCTCGCCTCTTTTGCCCGTTAACGCTGACCCCTTTTCGTCCTTCAGGACTTCTTGATGTCTCTCTGTCCTCGTGACCTTGCTTGTCCTGTCTCTTTAAGGTTGTCACATGACCAGATTGCATCGACCTCACGCATTTTAACCTTTCCTTTAAACAGACCTGGTGTTTCTTTCTGTAGGCTGAAATGTAACGGTAGTGAACAGTTTATCATGCAGTTTGGTGTCTGTAAGCAGGTTGTCATCTAAAACCCTCAGCCTGCTTAGGGTTAATGTTGCATCAACAGTCTCTGTAAGGAATGACGAAGAAAAATGTATCTCAAATGTAAAACTGTCAGAGGACTACACTTTTAAATGACAGTAAGTCATTACTGAATGAGAATGCTTTTGATATAATAATTTGACATTATCAGCTGTTTGCACTTGTAAATATGTCATGATTATAGCAGATGAACTGGGTAAACCATAAATATCAGGGTGAAAGGAATGCAGTTAGAACAGTGCATTACGAGGCGGTATACAAACGGTGAAGAGCAGAAAGGTTGAGCACACATTTTATCATCCTAAATACTTAATACTAAGTGCCTTGAAGAGGAATATAGTTTCCTATGTTCTGCCAGAAGATTACTAGCAGTACTATGCTGAAATGTATATAGGATGTTCGATAAACTCCAATAATGCCCCATGTATGACATTTACTTTACTAGTCTGGTTTCAGCATTGCTGTTTTGGGGATTTATTCCTGGATCTCAGTTGTCGTACATAAACAGATGGAGAGCAAACTTACAGAAATCTGTGATGCTGATGGAGAGAGGGGGTTCCTCAGTGTTCTAAAACACCATCAACATCGGTAATTCCTATTTCTGTGACCAGCAGCATCAGGGACTAGTGACAGAGGTAAAGGATGATAAAGGTTTAAAAACGTGTCAAGTAAACAGAATGACATCTTATGAGATTAGAGCATTTGTTTCGCAAGTAAAAGTTTATTTTGAAAAGACTAAACATAGTGAAGTAAACCAAAGTGTATCTCTTTAAGACGACAGCCCCTTCAATCTGCTTCTCCACGCCACTCCTTTTGACCTTTAATTCATATGGAGACACCAAAAATGTAGCACTGACAGACTGTAGTATCGATCGTGAAGACAGACAGCCAGAGACCGTTATACGATGAATGGATCACTGACCCTGTTTACTAAGCTGCTGTCTGTCTGGTTTCTGATGTCCTGGATCAGGATCACAAACTGGATCAGGGGCCTGCAAGTGCTGGATCCTAAAGTCTGAGGTGCTACTGTCTGCAGGTCAAAAATCACTTTTTTCTCGGCTCACACTGACCATTTAACAGACAAAATAATAATTTAGTCCTCAAAATATACCTGAAGGCCTCAGATCGACTCCTTGGTTTGTAGAAATTTCATTCAACTACTGTGTGTACTGCAGCGGTCCAGGGTTCGAAACCGACCTGTGGCCCTTTGCTGCGTGTCATCCTCTCTCTCTCCCCCCTTTCCTGTCACTCTTCAGCTGTCACTAACCGTCAAAGGCATTAAAAGCCCCAAAAAGGCAAAAGAAATGTATGCCCAAACATTCATAAAAACTTTAAATAAAAATCTGAGCCTGTTAGTGACAACTTTGACTTTGACGGTGTGCAATTGCCCATAAGGATTACGTCATAGCCCGTTTTGCAGCTGCAGGCCGCAGCGCTCTCACTCTCTAAGTTGTCCCCATTTGTCAAAAACTTACACAAGAACTTGGAAAAATAAGGTCAAGGATTTCCTTTAAGTTAAGCTTGAACATAAACTTAAGGTTACTTCTTGGGTGTCACATATTCATCATAGTTTGTACATCATGAGAAAAACAAACAAACAAACAAGCCAAGTCAGGTGAAGATAACATGCTGGAGGTTGCACACTGAAGTGTGGCTGAGCAGTCTAAATGTGCATGAGTAATGTGCAAATGTACTGTGAAACAAATATATAGCTACTTTATAAAGGGATTGATTTGGAGCAGTAAGGCTATTGTACAGTACAGTATATACTGGTACATCATTAGTACAAAAAAATGACCCTTATATTTGGGATTACATTAAAGAACTAGAAAATTCCTAAAGCAATTTTGATTGTGCCTTGCTCTGGCCCATATGTTAATACCATGTCTAGCCATGTCTTGCTCTCTAGCACGCTAGCGCTAGCATATTAATACCATGTAATTCTCTTTAGCTAGAGCTAGCACACATAAACACATTAACCAAAGGTAGCGCTTAGCTACGTGCTAAGCGCTAGCTAAGCGCTAATCGCTAGCTACGTGCTAATCGCTAATCGCTAGCTAAGTGCTAGCTTTGGTTAATGTGTTTAATTGTATAATGCTCCTGAAGGAGTGCTAATGTAAATGAAGGAACAGCTCATAGTAGGGTAAAATATTTAAGGTGTATTAAACTTATTTTGTGTTAATATTAAAATCATTCAGCCTTAAATTGTTTGCTTGTTAGCCGCCTGCTAATTATCTTTAGCTAGCCAGCTAGCGCTAGATTATTAATGCCATGTAATCCTCCCTATAGCATATTGATAACCTGTCATCCTCCTTAGCTAGCGCTAGCATATTAATATCATGTCATTCTCTTTAGTTAGCTAGCTAGAGCTAGCACACATAAACACATAAACCAAAGCTAGCGCTTAGCTACGTGCTAATCGCTAGCTAACCGCTAATCGCTAGCTAAGCGCTAATCGCTAGCTACATGCTAATCGCTAGCTAAGCGCTAATCGCTAGCTAAGTGCTAGCTGTGGTTAATGTGTTTAATTGTATTATGCTCCTGAAGGAGTGCTAATGTAAATTAAGGACCAGCTCATAGTAGGGTAAAATATTTAAGGTGTATTGTTCTTATTTTGTGTTAATATTAAAATCATTCAGCTTTAAATTGTTTGTTTGTTAGCCACCTGCTAATTATCTTTAGCTAGACAGCTAGCGCTAGCTTATTAATGTCTTGTCATTCTCTGTAGCTAGCTGTGTGTGTGTGTGTGTGTGAGCAGGCTTTGGTTGTCATGGCAATCAGGGGAGCCCACAGCAGCTGCGCACGCTCTCTCTCTGTCTCTAACTCCTCAGAGAGACAGAAAACATTTAAAATGAATCCCCTAAAAAGCATGGCCAGGAACGACCGAAATGAAAACCGAAAACACCGTGGGCGTTGTCATCTTGTTGACTATAGCACTGCCGAGTTTCAGTGGTTAAAGTTAAAAAATGTGACCTGGGGAGATTGAGAGAGAAGAGGTTCAACGAGCGTTTTTCAAGAATCCTCCTCTCCATTTTAACATGGGAGTAGATGGGGCCATGAGAGGGAGTTGCTGGCGCATCAGTGCGTCTCCCGCCAAAACTATTTGTCTGACAGCTTCAGCAGTAGTATCACTGCGACCCCAACGAATTTACCTACGTTTCTATCTATAAATTATTTCTGTTCAGTGAAATTTGTGGCCATGACAGCAGTTTACAAATTTATATTTCAACAAATTTTTCTCTCTCCCCACACTCTAGCGATGATGTCACGCACTCTGGCAGTTTTTTTCGGTTGGAGGTTCTCGCAATACACACCCATTCATTTTTTTGACCGGTTTTTGGCGATTTATCGGCAAACCGTTTGGCGAAATTCTTAGAAAAGTCATAGCACTCGATTCCCGGCCGAGCCGCACGTTTTGATACCTTTTTTGTGTATGTGCGACAAAAGCTGCGGGAGAAGAAGCGCGCCGAAAAACGTACGGAAGAATAATAAGAAAACTAGAAAATTCCTAAAGCAATTTTGATTGTGCCTTGCTCTGGCCCATATGTTAATACCATGTCTACGTGCTAACCGCTAATCGCTAGCTGTGCGCTAATCGCTAGCTAAGTGCTAACCGCTAGTTGCTAGCCAAGTGCTAGCTGTGGTTAATGTGTTTAATTGTATTATGCTCCTGAAGGAGTGCTAATGTAAATGAAGTAACAGCTCACAGTAGAGTAAAATATTTAAGGTGTATTGAACTTATTTTGTGTTAATATTAAAATCATTCAGCTTTAAATTATTTGTTTGTTAGCCACCTGCTAATTATCTTTAGCTAGCCAGCTAGCGCTAGATTATTAATGCCATGTAATCCTCCCTATAGCATATTGATAACCTGTCATCCTCCTTAGCTAGCGCTAGCATATTAATATCATGTCATTCTCTTTAGCTAGCTAGCTAAAGCTAGCACATATAAACACATAAACCAAAGGTAGTGCTTAGCTACATGCTAATCGCTAGCTATCCGCTAATCGCTGGCTACATGCTAATCGCTAGCTAAGCGCTAATCGCTAGCTGTGCGCTAATCGCTAGCTAAGTGCTAACAGCTAATCGCTAGCTAATACCATGTCTACGTGCTAACCGCTATTTAACCGCTAATCGCTAGCTAACCGCTAATCGCTAGCTAAGTGCTAGCTTTGGTTATTGTGTTTAATTGTATTATGCTCCTGAAGGAGTGCTAATGTAAATTAAGGAACAGCTCATAGTAGGGTAAAATATTTAAGGTGTATTGTTCTTATTTTGTGTTAATATTAAAATCATTCAGCTTTAAATTGTTTGCTTGTTAGCCACCTGCTAATTATCTTTAGCTAGCCAGCTAGCCAGCTAGCTTATTAATGCCTTGTCATTGTCTGTAGCTAGCTGTGTGTGTGTGTGTGTGTGTGTGTGTGAGTGAGCAGGCTTTGGTTGTCATGGCAATCAGGGGAGCCCACAGCAGCTGCGCACGCTCTCTCTGTCTCTAACTCCTCAGAGAGACAGAAAACAATTAAAACGAATCCCCTCAAAAGCATGGTCAGGAACGACCGAAATGAAAACCGAAAAGACCGTGAGCGTCGTCATCTTGTTGACTATAGCGCTGCCGAGTTTCAGTGGTTAAAGTTAAAAAATGTGACCTGGACAGATTGAGAGAGAAGAGGTTCAACGAGCGTTTTTCAAGATTTGTCCTCTAAAATTAACATGGGAGTAGATGGGGCCGTGAGAGGGTGTTGCTGGCGCATCAGTGCGTCTCCCGCCAAAACTATTTGTCTGACAGCTTCAGCAGTAGTATCACTGCGACCCCAACGGATTTACCTACGTTTCTATCTATAAATTATTTCTGTACAGTGAAATTTGTGGCCATGACAGCAGTTTACAAATTTATTTTTCGACAACTTTTTCTCTCTCCCCACACTCTAGCGATGATGTCACGCACTCTGGCGGTTTTTTTCAGTTGGAGGTTCTCGCAATACACACCCATTCATTTTTTGGACCGGTTTTTGGCGATTTAACGGCGAACCGTTTGGCGAAACGCTTAGAAAAGTCATAGCACTCGATTCCCGGCCGAGCCGCACGTTTTGATACCTTTCTTGTGTACGTGCGACAAAAGCTCCGGGAGGAGTAGCGCGCCGAAAAACGTACGGAAGAATAAAATATAATAAGTATGAGGGATAGTAGTATTGTGCTTGCTTATGCAAGGCACAATAACTAGAAAATTCCTAAAGCAATTTTGATTGTGCCTTGCTCTGGCCCATATGTTAATACCATGTCTACGTGCTAACCGCTATTTAACCGCTAATCGCTAGCTAACCGCTAATCGCTAGCTAAGTGCTAGCTTTGGTTATTGTGTTTAATTGTATTATGCTCCTGAAGGAGTGCTAATGTAAATTAAGGAACAGCTCATAGTAGGGTAAAATATTTAAGGTGTATTGTTCTTATTTTGTGTTAATATTAAAATCATTCAGCTTTAAATTGTTTGCTTGTTAGCCACCTGCTAATTATCTTTAGCTAGCCAGCTAGCGCTAGATTATTAATGCCATGTAATCCTCCCTATAGCATATTGATAACCTGTCATCCTCCTTAGCTAGCGCTAGCATATTAATATCATGTCATTCTCTTTAGCTAGCTAGCTAAAGCTAGCACACATAAACCAAAGCTAGCGCTTAGCTACGTGCTAATCGCTAGCTAACCGCTAATCGCTAGCTACGTGCTAATCGCTAGCTAACCGCTAATCGCTATCTACATGCTAATCGCTAGCTAAGCGCTAATCGCTAGCTAAGTGCTAGCTTTGGTTAATGTGTTTAATTGTATTATGCTCCTGAAGGAGTGCTAATGTAAATTAAGGAACAGCTCATAGTAGGGTAAAATATTTAAGGTGTATTGAACTTATTTTGTGTTAATATTAAAATCATTCAGCTTTAAATTGTTTGCTTGTTAGCCACCTGCTAATTATCTTTAGCTAGCCAGCTAGCGCTAGATTATTAATGCCATGTAATCCTCCCTATAGCATATTGATAACCTGTCATCCTCCTTAGCTAGCGCTAGCATATTAATATCATGTCATTCTCTTTAGCTAGCTAGCTAAAGCTAGCACACATAAACACATAAACCAAAGCTAGCGCTTAGCTACGTGCTAATCGCTAGCTAACCGCTAATCGCTAGCTAAGCGCTAATCGCTAGCTAAGTGCTAGCTTTGGTTAATGTGTTTAATTGTATTATGCTCCTGAAGGAGTGCTAATGTAAATTAAGGAACAGCTCATAGTAGGGTAAAATATTTAAGGTGTATTGAACTTATTTTTTGTTAATATTAAAATCATTCAGCTTTAAATTGTTTGTTTGTTAGCCACCTGCTAATTATCTTTAGCTAGCCAGCTAGCGCTAGCTTATTAATGCCTTGTCATTCTCTGTAGCTAGCTGTGTGTGTGTGTGTGTGTGTGTGTGTGTGTGTGTGTGAGCAGGCTTTGGTTGTCATGGCAATCAGGGGAGCCCACAGCAGCTGCGCACGCACTCTCTCTGTCTCTAACTCTTGAGAGAGACAGAAAACAATTAAAACGAATCCCCTCAAAAGCATGGCCAGGAACGACCGAAATGAAAACCGAAAAGACCGTGGGCGTCGTCATCTTGTTGACTATAGCGTTGCCGAGTTTCAGTGGCTAAAGTTAAAAAATGTGACCTGGGGAGATTGAGAGAGAAGAGGTTCAACGAGCGTTTTTCAGGATTCCTCCTCTAAAATTAACATGGGAGTAGATGGGGCCGTGAGAGGGCGTTGCTGGCGCATCAGTGCGTTTCCCGCCAAAACTATTTGTCTGACAGCTTCAGCAGTAGTATCACTGCGACCCCAACGAATTTACCTACGTTTCTATCTATAAATTATTTCTGTAGAGTGAAATTTGTGGCCATGACAGCAGTTTACAAATTTATTTTTCGACAAATTTTTCTCTCTCCCCACACTCTAGCGATGATGTCACGCACTCTGGCGGTTTTTTTCAGTTGGAGGTTCTCGCAATACACACCCATTCATTTTTTGGACCGGTTTTTGGCGATTTACCGGCAAACCGTTTGCCGAAATTCTTAGAAAAGTCATAGCACACCATTCCCGGCCGAGCCGCACGTTTTGATACCTTTTTTGTGTATGTGCGACAAAAGCTGCGGGAGAAGAAGCGCGCCGAAAAAACGTACGGAAGAATAATAATAATAAGTATGGGGAAGAGTAGTATTGTGCTTGCTTATGCAAGGCACAATAACTAGAAAATTCCTAAAGCAATTTTGATTGTGCCTTGCTCTGGCCCATATGTTAATACCATGTCTACGTGCTAACCGCTAATCGCTAGCTAGCTGCGCTAATCGCTAGCTAAGTGCTAATTTAGCTAAGTGCTAGCTTTGGTTAATGTGTTTAATTGTATTATGCTCCTGAAGGAGTGCTAATGTAAATTAAGGAACAGCTCATAGTAGGGTAAAATATTTAAGGTGTATTGAACTTATTTTGTGTTAATATTAAAATCATTCAGCTTTAAATTGTTTGCTTGTTAGCCACCTGCTAATTATCTTTAGCTAGCCAGCTAGCGCTAGATTATTAATGCCATGTAATCCTCCCTATAGCATATTGATAACCTGTCATCCTCCTTAGCTAGCGCTAGCATATTAATATCATGTCATTCTCTTTAGCTAGCTAGCTAGAGCTAGCACACATAAACACATAAACCAAAGCTAGCGCTTAGCTACGTGCTAATCGCTATAGCTACATGCTAATCGCTAGCTACATGCTAATCGCTAGCTATAAGCGCTAATCGCTAGCTAAGTGCTAGCTTTGGTTAATGTGTTTAATTGTATTATGCTCCTGAAGGAGTGCTAATATAAATTAAGGAACAGCTCATAGTAGGGTAAAATATTTAAGGTGTATTGTTCTTATTTTGTGTTAATATTAAAATCATTCAGCTTTAAATTGTTTGTTTGTTAGCCACCTGCTAATTATCTTTAGCTAGCCAGCTAGCTAGCTTATTAATGTCTTGTCATTCTCTGTAGCTAGCTGTGTGTGTGTGTGTGTGTGTGTGTGTGTGTGTGTGTGTGAGCAGGCTTTGGTTGTCATGGCAATCAGGGGAGCCCACAGCAGCTGCGCACGCTCTCTCTCTGTCTCTAACTCCTCAGAGAGACAGAAAACAATTAAAATGAATCCCCTCGAACCCATGGCCAGGAACGACCGAAATGAAAACCGAAAACACCGTGGGCGTCGTCATCTTGTTGACTATAGCGCTGCCGAGTTTCAGTGGTTAAAGTTAAAAAATGTGACCTGGGGAGATTGAGAGAGAAGAGGTTCAACGAGCGTGTTTCAAGATTTGTCCTCTAAAATTAACATGGGAGTAGATGGGGCCGTGAGAGGGCGTTGCTGGCGCATCAGTGCGTTTCCCGCCAAAACTATTTGTCTGACAGCTTCAGCAGTAGTATCACTGCGACCCCAACGAATTTACCTACGTTTCTATCTATAAATTATTTCTGTAGAGTGAAATTTGTGGCCATGACAGCAGTTTACAAATTTATTTTTCGACAAATTTTTCTCTCTCCCCACACTCTAGCGATGATGTCACGCACTCTGGCAGTTTTTTTCAGTTGGAGGTTCTCGCAATACACACCCATTCATTTTTTGGACCGGTTTTTGGCGATTTACCGGCGAACCGTTTGGCGAAATTCTTAGAAAAGTCATAGCACTCGATTCCCGGCCGAGCCGCACGTTTTGATACCTTTCTTGTGTACGTGCGACAAAAGCTCCGGGAGGAGTAAGCGCGCCGAAAAAACGTACGGAAGAATAATATTAACTAGAAAATTCCTAAAGCAATTTTGATTGTGCCTTGCTCTGGCCCATATGTTAATACCATGTCTATGTGCTAACCGCTAGCTAACCGCTAATCGCTAGCTTGCGCTAATCGCTAGCTAAGTGCTAACCGCTAATTGCTAGCTAAGTGCTAGCTTTGGTTAATGTGTTTAATTGTATTATGCTCCTGAAGGAGTGCTAATGTAAATTAAGGAACAGCTCATAGTAGGGTAAAATATTTAAGGTGTATTGTTCTTATTTTGTGTTAATATTAAAATCATTCAGCTTTAAATTGTTTGCTTGTTAGCCACCTGCTAATTATCTTTAGCTAGCCAGCTAGCGCTAGATTATTAATGCCATGTAATCCTCCACTATAGCATATTGATAACCTGTCATCCTCCTTAGCTAGCGCTAGCATATTAATATCATGTCATTCTCTTTAGCTAGCTAGCTAGAGCTAGCACACATAAACACATAAACCAAAGCTAGCGCTTAGCTACGTGCTAATCGCTAGCTAACCGCTAATCGCTAGCTACGTGCTAATCGCTAGCTAACTGCTAATCGCTAGCTAACCGCTAATCGCTAGTACGTGCTAATCGCTAGCTAACTGCTAATCGCTAGCTACATGCTAATCGCTAGCTACATGCTAATCGCTAGCTAAGCGCTAATCGCTAGCTAAGTGCTAGCTTTGGTTAATGTGTTTAATTGTATTATGCTCCTGAAGGAGTGCTAATGTAAATTAAGGAACAGCTCATAGTAGGGTAAAATATTTAAGGTGTATTGAACTTATTTTGTGTTAATATTAAAATCATTCAGCTTTAAATTGTTTGTTTGTTAGCCACCTGCTAATTATCTTTAGCTAGCCAGCTAGCGCTAGCTTATTAATGTCTTGTCATTCTCTGTAGCTAGCTGTGTGTGTGTGTGTGTGTGTGTGTGTGTGTGTGGACAGGCTTTGGTTGTCATGGCAATCAGGGGAGCCCACAGCAGCTGCGCGCGCTCTCTCTGTCTCTAACTCCTCAGAGAGACAGAAAACATTTAAAATGAATCCCCTCAAAAGCATGGCCAGGAACGACCGAAATGAAAACCGAAAAGACCGTGAGCGTCGTCATCTTGTTGACTATAGCACTGCCGAGTTTCAGTGGTTAAAGTTAAAAAATGTGACCTGGGGAGATTGAGAGAGAAGAGGTTCAACGAGCGTGTTTCAAGATTCCTCCTCTAAAATTAACATGGGAGTAGATGGGGCCGTGAGAGGGAGTTGCTGGCGCATCAGTGCGTCTCCCGCCAAAACTATTTGTCTGACAGCTTCAGCAGTGGTATCACTGCGACCCCAACGAATTTACCTACGTTTCTATCTATAAATTATTTCGGTAGAGTGAAATTTGTGGCCATGACAGCAGTTTACAAATTTATTTTTCGACAAATTTTTCTCTCTCCCCACACTCTAGCGATGATGTCACGCACTCTGGCAGTTTTTTTCAGTTGGAGGTTCTCGCAATACACACCCATTCATTTTTTGGACCGGTTTTTGGCGATTTATCGGCAAACCGTTTGGCGAAATTCTTAGAAAAGTCATAGCACTCGATTCCCGGCCGAGCCGCACGTTTTGATACCTTTTTTGTGTATGTGCGACAAAAGCTGCGGGAGGAGTAGCGCGCCGAAAAAACGTACGGAAGAATAATAAGTTTAACTAGAAAATTCCTAAAGCAATTTTGATTGTGCCTTGCTCTGGCCCATATGTTAATACCATGTCATCTTTAGCTAGAGCTAGAAAAAACATTAACCAAAGAGCATTGATATGTGCCTTGCTCTAGGCCCATATGTTAATACCATGCTAGCGTGCGCTAATCGCTAGCTAACCGCTAATCGCTAGCTATGCGCTAATCGCTAGCTAAGTGCTAACCGCTAATCGCTAGCTAAGTGCTAGCTTTGGTTAATGTGTTTAATTGTATTATGCTCCTGAAGGAGTGCTAATGTAAATTAAGGAACAGCTCATAGTAGGGTAAAATATTTAAGGTGTATTGTTCTTATTTTGTGTTAATATTAAAATCATTCAGCTTTAAATTGTTTGCTTGTTAGCCACCTGCTAATTATCTTTAGCTAGCCAGCTAGCGCTAGATTATTAATGCCATGTAATCCTCCCTATAGCATATTGATAACCTGTCATCCTCCTTAGCTAGCGCTAGCATATTAATATCATGTCATTCTCTTTAGCTAGCTAGCTAGAGCTAGCACACATAAACACATAAACCAAAGCTAGCGCTTAGCTACGTGCTAATCGCTAGCTAACGCAATCAGCTACGTGCTAATCGCTAGCTAACGCTAATCGCTAGCTACATGCTAATCGCTAGCTACATGCTAATCGCTAGCTAAGCGCTAATCGCTAGCTAAGTGCTAGCTTTGGTTAATGTGTTTAATTGTATTATGCTCCTGAAGGAGTGCTAATGTAAATTAAGGAACAGCTCATAGTAGGGTAAAATATTTAAGGTGTATTGTTCTTATTTTGTGTTAATATTAAAATCATTCAGCTTTAAATTGTTTGCTTGTTAGCCACCTGCTAATTATCTTTAGCTAGCCAGCTAGCGCTAGCTTATTAATGTCTTGTCATTCTCTGTAGCTAGCTGTGTGTGTGTGTGTGTGTGTGTGTGTGTGAGCAGGCTTTGGTTGTCATGGCAATCAGGGGAGCCCACAGCAGCTGCGCACGCTCTCTCTCTGTCTCTAACTCCTCAGAGAGACAGAAAACATTTAAAATGAATCCCCTCAAAAGCATGGCCAGGAACGACCGAAATGAAAACCGAAAAGACCGTGAGCGTCGTCATCTTGTTGACTATAGCACTGCCGAGTTTCAGTGGCTAAAGTTAAAAAATGTGACCTGGGGAGATTGAGAGAGAAGAGGTTCAACGAGCGTGTTTCAAGATTCCTCCTCTAAAATTAACATGGGAGTAGATGGGGCCGTGAGAGGGCGTTGCTGGCGCATCAGTGCGTCTCCCGCCAAAACTATTTGTCTGACAGCTTCAGCAGTAGTATCACTGCGACCCCAACGGATTTACCTACGTTTCTATCTATAAATTATTTCTGTAGAGTGAAATTTGTGGCCATGACAGCAGTTTACAAATTTATTTTTCGACAAATTTTTCTCTCTCCCCACACTCTAGCGATGATGTCACGCACTCTGGCAGTTTTTTTCAGTTGGAGGTTCTCGCAATACACACCCATTCATTTTTTGGACCGGTTTTTGGCGATTTATCGGCAAACCGTTTGGCGAAATTCTTAGAAAAGTCATAGCACTAGATGTCCTCGGCCGAGCCGCACGTTTTGATACCTTTTTTGTGTATGTGCGACAAAAGCTCCGGGAGAAGAAGCGCGCCGAAAAACGTACGGAAGAATAATAATAATTATAACTAGAAAATTCCTAAAGCAATTTTGATTGTGCCTTGCTCTGGCCCATATGTTAATACCATGTCTACGTGCTAACCGCTAATCGCTAGCTATGCGCTAATCGCTAGCTAAGTGCTAACCGCTAATCGCTAGCTAAGTGCTAACAGCTAATCGCTAGCTAAGTGCTAGCTTTGGTTAATGTGTTTAATTGTATTATGCTCCTGAAGGAGTGCTAATGTAAATTAAGGAACAGCTCATAGTAGGGTAAAATATTTAAGGTGTATTGTTCTTATTTTGTGTTAATATTAAAATCATTCAGCTTTAAATTGTTTGCTTGTTAGCCACCTGCTAATTATCTTTAGCTAGCCAGCTAGCGCTAGCTTATTAATGTCTTGTCATTCTCTGTAGCTAGCTGTGTGTGTGTGTGTGTGTGTGTGTGTGTGTGAGCAGGCTTTGGTTGTCATGGCAATCAGGGGAGCCCACAGCAGCTGCGCACGCTCTCTCTCTGTCTCTAACTCCTCAGAGAGACAGAAAACATTTAAAATGAATCCCCTCAAAAGCATGGCCAGGAACGACCGAAATGAAAACCGAAAAGACCGTGAGCGTCGTCATCTTGTTGACTATAGCACTGCCGAGTTTCAGTGGTTAAAGTTAAAAAATGTGACCTGGGGAGATTGAGAGAGAAGAGGTTCAACGAGCGTTTTTCAAGATTCCTCCTCTCCATTTTAACATGGGAGTAGATGGGGCCGTGAGAGGGTGTTGCTGGCGCATCAGTGCGTTTCCCGCCAAAACTATTTGTCTGACAGCTTCAGCAGTGGTATCACTGCGACCCCAACGGATTTACCTACGTTTCTATCTATAAATTATTTCTGTAGAGTGAAATTTGTGGCCATGACAGCAGTTTACAAATTTATTTTTCGACAAATTTTTCTCTCTCCCCACACTCTAGCGATGATGTCACGCACTCTGGCAGTTTTTTTCAGTTGGAGGTTCTCGCAATACACACCCATTCATTTTTTGGACCGGTTTTTGGCGATTTATCGGCAAACCGTTTGGCGAAATTCTTAGAAAAGTCATAGCACTAATGTCCTCATCGAGCCGCACGTTTTGATACCTTTTTTGTGTATGTGCGACAAAAGCTCTGGGAGAAGAAGCGCGCCGAAAAACGTACGGAAGAATAATAATAAGTTTAATAATAATAAGCACGAGGAAGAGTAGTATTGTGCTTGCTTATGCAAGGCACAATAACTAGAAAATTCCTAAAGCAATTTTGATTGTGCCTTGCTCTGGCCCATATGTTAATACCATGTCTAGCCATGTCTTGCTCTCTAGCACGCTAGCGCTAGCATATTAATACCATGTAATTCTCTTTAGCTAGAGCTAGCACACATAAACACATTAACCAAAGGTAGCGCTTAGCTACGTGCTAAGCGCTATTTAACCGCTAATCGCTAGCTGTGCGCTAATCGCTAGCTCAGTGCTAACCGCTAATCGCTAGCTAAGTGCTAGCTTTGGTTAATGTGTTTAATTGTATTATGCTCCTGAAGGAGTGCTAATGTAAATTAAGGAACAGCTCATAGTAGGGTAAAATATTTAAGGTGTATTGTTCTTATTTTGTGTTAATATTAAAATCATTCAGCTTTAAATTGTTTGCTTGTTAGCCACCTTCTAATTATCTTTAGCTAGCCAGCTAGCGCTAGATTATTAATGCCATGTAATCCTCCCTATAGCATATTGATAACCTGTCATCCTCCTTAGCTAGCGCTAGCATATTAATATCATGTCATTCTCTTTAGCTAGCTAGCTAGAGCTAGCACACATAAACACATTAACCAAAGGTAGCACTTAGCTATGTGCTAATCGCTAGCTAAGCGCTAATTGCTAGCTACGTGCGAATCGCTTGCTAACCGCTAATCGCTAGCTAAGCGCTAATCGCTAGCTAAGCAATGTACTGGCTAATCGCTAGCTGGCGCTAATCGCTAGCTTAGCGCTAATCGCTAGCTAAGCGCTAATCGCTAGCTAAGTGCTAGCTCTTGGTTAATGTGTTTAATTGTATTATGCTCCTGAAGGAGTGCTAATGTAAATTAAGGAACAGCTCATAGTAGGGTAAAATATTTAAGGTGTATTGTTCTTATTTTGTGTTAATATTAAAATCATTCAGCTTTAAATTGTTTGTTTGTTAGCCACCTGCTAATTATCTTTAGCTAGCCAGCTAGCGCTAGCTTATTAATGTCTTGTCATTCTCTGTAGCTAGCTGTGTGTGTGTGTGTGTGTGTGTGTGTGTGTGTGTGAGCAGGCTTTGGTTGTCATGGCAATCAGGGGAGCCCACAGCAGCTGCGCACGCTCTCTCTCTGTCTCTAACTCCTCAGAGAGACAGAAAACATTTAAAATGAATCCCCTCAAAAGCATGGCCAGGAACGACCGAAATGAAAACCGAAAAGACCGTGAGCGTCGTCATCTTGTTGACTATAGCGCTGCCGAGTTTCAGTGGCTAAAGTTAAAAAATGTGACCTGGGGAGATTGAGAGAGAAGAGGTTCAACGAGCGTTTTTCAAGAATCCTCCTCTCCATTTTAACATGGGAGTAGATGGGGCCGTGAGAGGGCGTTGCTGGCGCATCAGTGCGTCTCCCGCCAAAACTATTTGTCTGACAGCTTCAGCAGTAGTATCACTGCGACCCCAACGAATTTACCTACGTTTCTATCTATAAATTATTTCGGTAGAGTGAAATTTGTGGCCATGACAGCAGTTTACAAATTTATTTTTCGACAAATTTTTCTCTCTCCCCACACTCTAGCGATGATGTCACGCACTCTGGCAGTTTTTTTCAGTTGGAGGTTCTCGCAATACACACCCATTCATTTTTTGGACCGGTTTTTGGCGATTTATCGGCAAACCGTTTGGCGAAATTCTTAGAAAAGTCATAGCACTAATGTCCTCAACGAGCCGCACGTTCTGATACCTTTTTTGTGTACGTGCGATCAAAGCTCTGGGAGAAGAAGCGCGCCGAAAAAGCGTACGGAAGAATAAAATATTATAATAAGCACGGGGAATAATAGTATTGTGCTTGCTTATGCAAGGCACAATAATAAAGGCAAATAATAAGCAGGGATATATTGTGCTTGCTTATGCAAGGCACAATAACTAGAAAATTCCTAAAGCAATTTTGATTGTGCCTTGCTCTGGCCCATATGTTAATACCATGTCTACGTGCTAACCGCTAGCTCTGCGCTAATCGCTAGCTAAGTGCTAAGCGCTAATCGCTAGCTAAGTGCTAGCTTTGGTTAATGTGTTTAATTGTATTATGCTCCTGAAGGAGTGCTAATGTAAATTAAGGAACAGCTCATAGTAGGGTAAAATATTTAAGGTGTATTGTTCTTATTTTGTGTTAATATTAAAATCATTCAGCTTTAAATTGTTTGTTTGTTAGCCACCTGCTAATTATCTTTAGCTAGCCAGCTAGCGCTAGATTATTAATGCCATGTAATCCTCCCTATAGCATATTGATAACCTGTCATCCTCCTTAGCTAGCGCTAGCATATTAATATCATGTCATTCTCTTTAGCTAGCTAGCTAAAGCTAGCACACATAAACACATAAACCAAAGCTAGCGCTTAGCTACGTGCTAATCGCTAGCTAACCGCTAATCGCTAGCTAACTGCGCTAATCGCTAGCTACATGCTAATCGCTAATCGCTAGCTAAGTGCTAGCTTTGGTTAATGTGTTTAATTGTATTATGCTCCTGAAGGAGTGCTAATGTAAATTAAGGAACAGCTCATAGTAGGGTAAAATATTTAAGGTGTATTGAACTTATTTTGTGTTAATATTAAAATCATTCAGCTTTAAATTGTTTGCTTGTTAGCCACCTGCTAATTATCTTTAGCTAGCCAGCTAGCGCTAGCTTATTAATGTCTTGTCATTCTCTGTAGCTAGCTGTGTGTGTGTGTGTGTGTGTGTGTGTGTGTGTGTGAGAGCAGGCTTTGGTTGTCATGGCAATCAGGGGAGCCCACAGCAGCTGCGCACGCTCTCTCTCTGTCTCTAACTCCTCAGAGAGACAGAAAACAATTAAAATGAATCCCCTCAAAAGCATGGCCAGGAACGACCGAAATGAAAACCGAAAAGACCGTGAGCGTCGTCATCTTGTTGACTATAGCACTGCCGAGTTTCAGTGGCTAAAGTTAAAAAATGTGACCTGGGGAGATTGAGAGAGAAGAGGTTCAACGAGCGTCTTTCAAGATTTGTCCTCTAAAATTAACATGGGAGTAGATGGGGCCGTGAGAGGGCGTTGCTGGCGCATCAGTGCGTCTCCCGCCAAAACTATTTGTCTGACAGCTTCAGCAGTAGTATCACTGCGACCCCAACGGATTTACCTACGTTTCTATCTATAAATTATTTCTGTAGAGTGAAATTTGTGGCCATGACAGCAGTTTACAAATTTATTTTTCGACAAATTTTTCTCTCTCCCCACACTCTAGCGATGATGTCACGCACTCTGGCAGTTTTTTTCAGTTGGAGGTTCTCGCAATACACACCCATTCATTTTTTGGACCGGTTTTTGGCGATTTACCGGCAAACCGTTTGGCGAAATTCTTAGAAAAGTCATAGCACTAATGTCCTCATCGAGCCGCACGTTTTGATACCTTTTTTGTGTATGTGCGACAAAAGCTGCGGGAGAAGAAGCGCGCCGAAAAAGCGTACGGAAGAATAATAATAAGTTTAACTAGAAAATTCCTAAAGCAATTTTGATTGTGCCTTGCTCTGGCCCATATGTTAATACCATGTCTACGTGCTAACCGCTAATCGCTAGCTGTGCGCTAATCTCTAGCTAACCGCTCATCGCTAGCTCTGCGCTAATCGCTAGCTAAGTGCTAACCGCTAATCGCTAGCTAAGTGCTAGCTTTGGTTAATGTGTTTAATTGTATTATGCTCCTGAAGGAGTGCTAATGTAAATTAAGGAACAGCTCATAGTAGGGTAAAATATTTAAGGTGTATTGAACTTATTTTGTGTTAATATTAAAATCATTCAGCTTTAAATTGTTTGCTTGTTAGCCACCTTCTAATTATCTTTAGCTAGCCAGCTAGCGCTAGATTATTAATGCCATGTAATCCTCCCTATAGCATATTGATAACCTGTCATCCTCCTTAGCTAGCGCTAGCATATTAATATCATGTCATTCTCTTTAGCTAGCTAGCTAGAGCTAGCACACATAAACACATAAACCAAAGGTAGCGCTTAGCTACGTGCTAATCGCTAGCTAACGCTAATCGCTAGCTACATGCTAATCGCTAGCTACATGCTAATCGCTAGCTACATGCTAATCGCTAGCTAAGCGCTAATCGCTAGCTAAGTGCTAGCTTTGGTTAATGTGTTTAATTGTATTATGCTCCTGAAGGAGTGCTAATGTAAATTAAGGAACAGCTCATAGTAGGGTAAAATATTTAAGGTGTATTGAACTTATTTTGTGTTAATATTAAAATCATTCAGCTTTAAATTGTTTGCTTGTTAGCCACCTGCTAATTATCTTTAGCTAGCCAGCTAGCGCTAGCTTATTAATGTCTTGTCATTCTCTGTAGCTAGCTGTGTGTGTGTGTGTGTGTGTGTGTGTGTGTGTGTGTGAGAGCAGGCTTTGGTTGTCATGGCAATCAGGGGAGCCCACAGCAGCTGCGCACGCTCTCTCTCTGTCTCTAACTCCTCAGAGAGACAGAAAACATTTAAAATGAATCCCCTCAAAAGCATGGCCAGGAACGACCGAAATGAAAACCGAAAAGACCGTGAGCGTCGTCATCTTGTTGACTATAGCACTGCCGAGTTTCAGTGGTTAAAGTTAAAAAATGTGACCTGGGGAGATTGAGAGAGAAGAGGTTCAACGAGCGTTTTTCAAGATTCCTCCTCTAAAATTTAACATGGGAGTAGATGGGGCCGTGAGAGGGGTTGCTGGCGCATCAGTGCGTCTCCCGCCAAAACTATTTGTCTGACAGCTTCAGCAGTAGTATCACTGCGACCCCAACGAATTTACCTACGTTTCTATCTATAAATTATTTCGGTAGAGTGAAATTTGTGGCCATGACAGCAGTTTACAAATTTATTTTTCGACAAATTTTTCTCTCTCCCCACACTCTAGCGATGATGTCACGCACTCTGGCAGTTTTTTTCAGTTGGAGGTTCTCGCAATACACACCCATTCATTTTTTGGACCGGTTTTTGGCGATTTATCGGCAAACCGTTTGGCGAAATTCTTAGAAAAGTCATAGCACTAGATGTCCTCCCGGCGAGCCGCACGTTTTGATACCTTTTTTGTGTATGTGCGACAAAAGCTGCGGGAGAAGAAGCGCGCCGAAAAAGAGTACGGAAGAATAATAATAAGTTTAACTAGAAAATTCCTAAAGCAATTTTGATTGTGCCTTGCTCTGGCCCATATGTTAATACCATGTCTACGTGCTAACCGCTAATCGCTAGCTGTGCGCTAATCGCTAGCTAAGTGCTAATCGCTAATTGCTAGCTAAGTGCTAGCTTTGGTTAATGTGTTTAATTGTATTTTGCTCCTGAAGGAGTGCTAATGTAAATTAAGGAACAGCTCATAGTAGGGTAAAATATTTAAGGTGTATTGAACTTATTTTGTGTTAATATTAAAATCATTCAGCTTTAAATTGTTTGCTTGTTAGCCACCTGCTAATTATCTTTAGCTAGCCAGCTAGCGCTAGCTTATTAATGTCTTGTCATTCTCTGTAGCTAGCTGTGTGTGTGTGTGTGTGTGTGTGTGTGTGAGCAGGCTTTGGTTGTCATGGCAATCAGGGGAGCCCACAGCAGCTGCGCACGCTCTCTCTCTGTCTCTAACTCCTCAGAGAGACAGAAAACAATTAAAACGAATCCCCTCAAAAGCATGGCCAGGAACGACCGAAATGAAAACCGAAAAGACCGTGAGCGTCGTCATCTTGTTGACTATAGCACTGCCGAGTTTCAGTGGTTAAAGTTAAAAAATGTGACCTGGGGAGATTGAGAGAGAAGAGGTTCAACGAGCGTGTTTCAAGAATCCTCCTCTCCATTTTAACATGGGAGTAGATGGGGCCGTGAGAGGGCGTTGCTGGCGCATCAGTGCGTCTCCCGCCAAAACTATTTGTCTGACAGCTTCAGCAGTAGTATCACTGCGACCCCAACAGATTTACCTACGTTTCTATCTATAAATTATTTCTGTAGAGTGAAATTTGTGGCCGTGACAGCAGTTTACAAATTTATTTTTCGACAAATTTTTCTCTCTCCCCACACTCTAGCGATGATGTCACGCACTCTGGCAGTTTTTTTCAGTTGGAGGTTCTCGCAATACACACCCATTCATTTTTTGGACCGGTTTTTGGCGATTTATCGGCAAACCGTTTGGCGAAATTCTTAGAAAAGTCATAGCACTAGATGTCCTCATCGAGCCGCACGTTTTGATACCTTTTTTGTGTATGTGCGACAAAAGCTCCGGGAGAAGAAGCGCGCCGAAAAAGCGTACGGAAGAATAAAATATTATAATAAGCACGGGGAATAATAGTATTGTGCTTGCTTATGCAAGGCACAATAACTAGAAAATTCCTAAAGCAATTTTGATTGTGCCTTGCTCTGGCCCATATGTTAATACCATGTCTACGTGCTAACCGCTAATCGCTAGCTGTCGCTAATCCTACTAACCGCTCATCGCTAGCTCTGCGCTAATCGCTAGCTAAGTGCTAACCGCTAATCGCTAGCTAAGTGCTAGCTTTGGTTAATGTGTTTAATTGTATTATGCTCCTGAAGAAGTGCTAATGTAAATTAAGGAACAGCTCATAGTAGGGTAAAATATTTAAGGTGTATTGTTCTTATTTTGTGTTAATATTAAAATCATTCAGCTTTAAATTGTTTGTTTGTTAGCCACCTTCTAATTATCTTTAGCTAGCCAGCTAGCGCTAGATTATTAATGCCATGTAATCCTCCCTATTGCATATTGATAACCTGTCATCCTCCTTAGGTAGCGCTAGCATATTAATATCATGTCATTCTCTTTAGCTAGCTAGCTAGAGGTAGCACACATAAACACATAAACCAAAGGTAGCGCTTAGCTACGTGCTAATCGCTAGCTAACCGCTAATCGCTAGCTACATGCTAATCGCTAGCTACATGCTAATCGCTAGCTAAGCGCTAATCGCTAGCTAAGTGCTAGCTTTGGTTAATGTGTTTAATTGTATTATGCTCCTGAAGGAGTGCTAATGTAAATAAAGGAACAGCTCATAGTAGGGTAAAATATTTAAGGTGTATTGAACTTATTTTGTGTTAATATTAAAATCATTCAGCTTTAAATTGTTTGCTTGTTAGCCACCTGCTAATTATCTTTAGCTAGCCAGCTAGCGCTAGCTTATTATTGTCTTGTCATTCTCTGTAGCTAACTGTGTGTGTGTGTGTGTGTGTGTGTGTGAGCAGGCTTTGGTTGTCATGGCAATCAGGGGAGCCCACAGCAGCTGCGCACGCTCTCTCTCTGTCTCTAACTCCTCAGAGAGACAGAAAACATTTAAAATGAATCCCCTAAAAAGCATGGCCAGGAACGACCGAAATGAAAACCGAAAAGACCGTGAGCGTCGTCATCTTGTTGACTATAGCGCTGCCAAGTTTCAGTGGTTAAAGTTAAAAAATGTGACCTGGGGAGATTGAGAGAGAAGAGGTTCAACGAACGTGTTTCATGATTGCTCCTCTAAAATTAACATGGGAGTAGATGGGGCCATGAGAGGGCGTTGCTGGCGCATCAGTGCGTTTCCCGCCAAAACTATTTGTCTGACAGCTTCAGCAGTGGTATCACTGCGACCCCAACGGATTTACCTACGTTTCTATCTATAAATTATTTCTGTAGAGTGAAATTTGTGGCCATGACAGCAGTTTACAAATTTATTTTTCGACAAATTTTTCTCTCTCCCCACACTCTAGCGATGATGTCACGCACTCTAGCGGTTGAACATTCTCGCAATACACACCCATTCATTTTTTGGACCGGTTTTTGGCGATTTACCGGCAAACCGTTTGGCGAAATTCTTAGAAAAGTCATAGCACTAATGTCCTCATCGAGCCGCACGTTTTGATACCTTTTTTGTGTATGTGCGACAAAAGCTCCGGGAGAAGAAGCGCGCCGAAAAACGTACGGAAGAATAATAATAAGTTTAATAATTATAATAAGCCCGAGGAAGAGTAGTATTGTGCTTGCTTATGCAAGGCACAATAATAAGCACGAGGAAGAGTAGTATTGTGCTTGCTTATGCAAGGCACAATAATAAGCCCGAGGAAGAGTAGTATTGTGCTTGCTTATGCAAGGCACAATAATTACAGTGTACACTGTGGGCCGCAGTCTAAAGCAGCGTGTGTTTTTACACATATTCTGAATAACACACACTGACGACTCACTTCCCGTCTGATAATACAAACCAAGCATTTGTGACCTTCCATGCTGCATGTCGGATGATGGAGGGACGGTGTAGCAGAGGCGTAGTAACAAGATTACAGGAGGCAAGAAGCACAGGTATTTTGTTGTGAACCGGCTGGTTGTTCCAGAGACCAAAACTGATTGATTCAAAACCGAGTGGAGACTTCTGAATGTCACATTCGTCTCTGCTTCACTGGACCTCAGAGAGACTGAGAGGGAGAAGACATTTATATTTACAATGTTACAATGTACGATTCATATAAACACAACTTTTAGTCAGCTTCATACAGAACCTCTTCAAATGATGACGTAAAAACTGTTGGTCCTTTGTTTTATTTAAGGATGCACATTAATCAGCACTGGAGACCATTATGTAAATGTGACAGATTTAGTCATTTCTGTCTGTAGTCCCTGGCAGGTTGATGGCATATAAGAAAGCATTAAAAGAAAACGTATAAAATCTCATAAGCACAGACAAATAGTAACTCAATGTTTTATAGAGTTTGAGGAGTCACTATGAGACACCTTTAACCAGCAGGAAAATCTAATTTGATTCCTTTAGTTGCTGTACATTACTGCTGCAAATTTGGCTAATGAAAATATTATCAATATCCAAATCACTTTTTAATTTTGAAGATAAACTATGTGACAAAATGGCATTATGATGAAGTGCAGAGCCCCACCAAAAAAATGTGTTTAACCATATCATGCAGCCCTAGTGTGTATTGTATTATTTCTCTGGTTGTTTATATTTTACTCTGTTGTGCGTACAAATAGCTGCAACAAACAAACTGCCCCTAGTGAGATTAATAAAGTTATTAATAGAACATTATTTCATTTGTTAACTGCATTTATTGATGAACACCGGATGACCTAAAATACACCCAACATAAAACAATAAATAAATATAAAGTTGCATTTAGGCTCTGCTATAAAAAGAAAGAAAGGACTTAACAGAACATAAAGTAAGGCCCAACTCTTCCTCAAAAAGGTCCAAAAATCTCTCTGTTTGTGATTGATAGTCCTGAAACAGCTCATCCTCTTCGTCCAACAGCTGCGTCAGTCTGCTTCTCCTCTTTTTCGGGGTGGGGGGTTGCATCCTACAGATATCGAGGGGGTTGGGTCACTGTTTTTAGAGGCCACAGCATCCACTGGTCCCCCCCCCCACTGTTGTCCAGTAAGACTGGAGGCAAAAATAGAAGGCCTCCCCCTAATGGCCTCATGCATCGGAGTAAACCTGGGCCAGGTGGCTGTTGTGGCCTCCCCTCCTGAGAACAGAAAGGTGAAAGGTGTATATGCATCACTGGAAAGACAATTTATCAAAAGAGAGATTAAACCAAATCTATAACAAAAACAGAAACAACCTACATACCTTTATATTTCCTCTTCTGATTGTCCCACTTCTTTCCCGCCTGTGTGGCACTGATGTCCTGCAGCCTCACCTCAGTCAGTATTACTCTCAGGGATGTAAAAGTATGTTGTTGTTATGGGCTGTTTGCTCTTAATTACATCTTTATTATATACCTATGTTTTTCAACTGCTATCAAAGCTACTTGTAATTATTATTAAGTTTTTAGATAATAACTTTTCATTCAAATATTAGGCCAAATAATAGCTATGCATTGATGCATTAATCACACTCCCACTTCTGTTCAGCAGTGTGTCGTCACCCTGTAAACAGCTGGTCATATTCTGCCCTCAGAATAGGTCCCAGTAAGACATGAAATTCCTGACAGTTCTGACAGTTCCAATTGACATAAATATAAGATGTTAATCATTTCCATAAAACGAGGCACAATGGAGGACATGTGTGCTGTAAAAAAACACTTCACCATTAAGCCTTATAGACGTAAGCATTTATTTGCAGTGTTCCCCCTCTGGCATTCATTTTGCTCTTCTTTAGTAGAACAGACAGTTCTAAAAGAACATAACGATCATGGACCTCTTACATTTATGAAGGGCTGCTTCAAACTGAAGCCACATGCAGAGGGGTGGTATTTACACTGTGTTCCAAATTATTATGCAAATATGATTTCAATGAAAAAAATTTATATATTTTTCAATGAAAGTTTTCAATTGTACTGCTTCCCATGTATGTTTAGATCACTGACATCAATCTCAGACAGGTTTGTCTTTATTAGTTTGCCAGGTGAGCCTAATTAATGGGAAACTACTTAAGGATGTTGTTCCACATTATTAAGCAAGTCACAGGTTTCATGCAATATGGGGAAAAAATATCTTTCTGCAGATGAAAAAAGATCAATAGGTATGAAAGCACCATCATCTCCTGACCTCAACCCTATTGAGAAACTGAGGAGCATCCTCAAAAGGAAGCTCTATGAGGGTGGGTGGCAGTTTACCTCAAAACAGCAGCTCCGTGAGGCAATTCTGGCATTCTCAAAGGAAATACAGGACATGGACTTAAGAGTTCAATGGATGAGAGAGTTGTTAATGTGATATCAAAGAAGGGCTCCTATGTTAATATGTAACTCGATCTTTAAAGATGTTTTTGATTTAAATAGCTTTGATTTGAGAAACAAAATCCCCTCTAATGCAAAAAATACAACAGATTTCGGTTTTCAATCCTTTAGAAACTATTGAGTGTTTTGAAACAGTGTTTTGCATAATAATTTGGAACACTGCATTTTGAGTTATTTTGCAAAAAATACCATTGTCATCATTGGTAATTGTGTTTAATAAAATCCAGATTACGATATAATTGTTGAGGAATAAAAAATCCTAATGACTGCCTATTATATTGACTATTTAGGAACGAAAAAGAACAAAAACAGTATAATGCATAATAATTTGGAACACAGTGTATATGCCACGCCACTTAAAAGACTTCCAGGTATGATACATCTGTGCTTCCTCGCTCTGAGCTCCTCCATAAGCCTCCTCACTTCTCGTCTCCTTGAGGTGCATTTGAGTAATTGAAAGATCCTCCATGATGACGAATGGGGAACGATTTAATTTCATAAGTTAGCATAATGAAAAGCACACAGTATTTGCGACTACTGCCCACCTCTCTGATGTTATTTCTGTTAAGACTGCAAGAGTGTGGAGGGTTATCAGATTACACTGGGAAAATGAGGACAAGATCTAAAGTCATCATTCTTAAAGAATCCTGATAGTTTACAGTAAAGTGAGAAGCAGTAAAGATAATAAAGCAGTATGATTCTACACCTCCTGATTTATGTCCACTGCGACTGCCAATACAACAAGCTGTGTGTCCTTTTGTGTAGACAGGTGGAAAGTAATGATATGGAGGATGGAGTTCACATCCTGTCAGACCTGCAATGAATTTTGTTTTATTAACCCTGACCACGATCTTCCCCCTAACCTTAACCATACTGTACTTACCTCAGTTCTCCTCCTGGGATTAATGCTCTTACCTATCTTACAGATATATATCAATTTCAGCTTAAAATCAGGTCAGGGTTGAGAATCAAAACTACTGTCATGAATATGTTTGATGACAGTGATGACAATAACTAATAATAAATATGAGAATATACTTTCAGTATCCA